AAAATTCCCCAAATTCCCAAAAAATTCCCCCAAAATTCCCCCAAAATTTCCAAAAATTCCCCAGAATTCCCAAAATTCCCAAAAATTCCCCCAAAATCCCCCAAATCTCCCCAAAAATCCCCAAAATTCCTCAAAACTCCAAAAAATTCCCCAAAACTCCCTAAAATTCCCAAAAAAGTCCCCAAAATTCCCAAAAATTCCCCAAAAATTCCCCAAAAATTCCCAAAAATTCCCCAAAATTCCCAAAAAAATCCCCAAAATTCCCCAAAATTCCCCAAAATTCCCCAAAATTCCCCCAAAATTCCGGCATTTTCCAACATTCCCGAGGTTTTTCCATCGATTTTTTGGTGGATTTAGGAAAATTTTCGATGGTTTTGACCAAAATTTTGATTTTTAAAAACAATTTTTTGGGTGGTTTGGCGCAATTTTGGGTGGTTTTTACCAAAATTTTTGGTTTTTTTTAAAAAAAAAAATTTTTTGGTGGTTTCAGGAAAATTTTTGATGGTTTTCATCAAATTTTTTATTTTTCAATTTTGATGGTTTCAATTCGAGTTTTGATGGTTTTGACCAATTTTTGATGATTTTCACCCAATTTTTGATGGTTTTATCCAAATTTTGATGATTTCAATCCAATTTTTGATGGTTTTAAGCCAATTTTTGATGGATTTTCACCCAATTTTTGATGGTTTTGTCCAATTTTTGATGGATTTTGACCAATTTTTGATGGGTTTTGATCAATTTTTGATGGTTTTTCCCAATTTTTGATGGTTCTGAACAACTTTTGATGGGTTCAGACCAATTCTGGATGGGTTTAAGCCAAATTTTGGTGGGGTTTGAGCAATTTTTGATGGTTTCACCCAATTTTTGATGGTTTCACCCAATTTTTGATGGTTTTGACCAATTCTTGATGGTTTTAATTCAACTTTTGATGGTTTTAATCCAATTTTTGATGGTTTTATCCAAATTTGGATGGTTTTGAGCAATTCTTGATGGTTTTGACCAATTTTTGATGGTTTCACCCAATTTTTGATGGTTTTAACCAATTTTTGATGGTTTCAATCCAACTTTTGATGGTTTCAATCCAATTTTGGTTGAGTTTTGACCAATTTTGGATGGTTTTAAGCCAACTTTGGATGGGTTCAGACCAACTTTTGATGGTTTTGACCAATTTTTGATGGTTTTAATCCAACTTTGGTTGAGTTTTGACCAATTTTGATGGTTTTGAGCCAACTTTTGATGGGTTTAGACCAATTTTGATGGGTTCAAATCAACTTTTGATGGGTTTTGACCAATT